GCAAGAAAGGGGCGGGGCCAGCGGCATGCGCTCCGTCAACAAGTTGCCTCGCCATCGGCCGCTGGCCCGTACCCAGAGTGCACCTCTGCCTCAGTCCCCCCAGGCCCTGCAGCAGCTGGTGGTTCATCAGCAGCACCAGCACTTCCTGGAGAAACACTACAAGGTGCAGACGTGCAATTTACAACAAAACTGTCAATAAAATGAACCAACACCATAAATTCTTAACCCTTTAACATTTCTCTGTGAGCACAGATGCTATCGAAGGGGGTCGACCTTCCCAGGCCACCCCCCACTCACCCAGAGGAGACGGAGGAGGAGCTAACAGAGACCAACGACATGCAGGATGACGACCTCGGGCCCAGGACCCACAGGTTGGACCTCACGTCCATCGAAGGAAAAAGTTTTTGTTTTTTTTTCTTCCAGCTGTGTTTTCTCACCATGTCGTCGTCAACATTTGTCCAGGCTCCAGAAGGACGGGTCGGACGACAGCTGCCCCTCCTCCGAGCGACTCAGCGGACACCTGAAGGGTGAGGAGGACCGCGGAATCCACGTCAAGGGGGAGAGCACGGAGAGCGAACTGGACGAAGAGGAAGAGGACGAAGATGTCATCCACCTGGGAGACGGGGAGGAGGAGGAGCGAGGAAGCTACAGTCAGGTTGGTTGGAAAGAAGAACTGATCTCATCTGTCACCACTGATTGTTTTTACATAAGATACGAAGAGTTTGACTCTGGTTTCACTTCCTCTCAAGAAGTCCAAGAAATATTCAAGCAGAAATGTTAAGAAAAGAAGTTTACTTATATAAAAATATAGTTAAAAATGAAAAAGATTGTAAACATGCTCGGCGTTTCATAAAGTGCATTAATAATGGACATTTAAACAGGAAAAAATGAACCAAAACTGTGACTATTTATATTCATTGATCTTTTTATTGATGACAGTTCAGTTCCAGTTTGTGGCAGTGGTTTCCAGTCGTATTCCCTAATATTCCCTGATCGTCTTTATGGAGATGATCTACCTGCAGCCTCAGTTCTCAGCCTGAGGATATTTGGGTTTTTTTTTCATCTCCATCCCACAAAGGGATGAATCATGTTTTTGTCATCAGCTCAGCTCCTGCAGTCGCCCGTCTGCAGATGTAACGCACCGATGACTGAGTCATCGCTCACAGAACAGTTTGCTCTGTTACTTCTGTCCAAACCTGACACCACTTCAGGTGGTTATTGTTTGGTTTTGGTTTTTTTTACATCCAGTGCAGTGGAGCAGATGTTGAGAGACGAGAAAAATGTGTTTGTTGCAGCTTCAGTTACAGGGGTTAGAAGTTTGTTTTTGTTCAAATTTTCACCTACAAAAATCATACTTCACATCAGAGACGATAGGTGGCGATGTTTCTAATGTAAGTGTTTAGTAACGCTGCTAAAAGATCACGACATTGGTCTTCGTCAAGGGGGGAGTGATGGCGGGGGGGGGGGGGGGGGGGGGGGGGGGGGGTTTGGGAC